GGGGGGGGGGGGGGTTCACACGTGAATAAAATGTAACACACCCATTTATCCACAAAAGCCTTCCATGGGGCCAAGGCCAGTTTAGTGCAGCTAGGTCTACTTGTCTAATCATCTTCTAGTGCATAATTCAAACTTCCACATTGTTGCAGCTTCTTGCTGTTTAAAATATATGAATTTTGGGGAGAAATGAAGCGTCAAATTAAAAAGTTGCAGAGATCTCTCACTAAAGTCTAGTTCCTAACTTGAAACAACCAACCTCCCCCCAGCAAAAAAAAAGTATCAGTCTCTGTGGGACAACATTGGCCTGAATGGTTTATAAGACCAGTAATTCCAAATTCTACAGTAATTCCAAACAAGAATTATTATGCTGGTAATACAACACAGAAATATCTCTGTACTAACCAAGCACTAATATCTCTGTGAGATTTTATTGGGTGAGGTTTTTTGTGACGAAACCTAACGATTGCATGCACCCTGGAGGTGAATTAAGCTGCCAGCTCAGCGCTGGTTTCTCTCCCATTATCCACTGGTTCGTCCATCCCTCCCACTAACCTGACCTCAGCCCAGACCCCAACTAGCTTCTCAACCAACTGCGTTGGCAGCACGTTCTATACTGAATCTAAAGGATACATCCATCGTACTATGAGGACACACACAAGGGCCTCTGTTTTTAAAAAAGCTGTATTGAAATGGGTACATATTTCTCTGGGGGAAAAAAATGACATTAATATGGTTGTCTCTACCTCCATGCTAGTATTGGGGTCAAGGTCATCACACTCTGATTCCTCTGAGCTGTTCGTCTCCTTGTTTGGCAGCATAGAGAGGAAGAAAGAAAATAAGAGATTAGAAGAGAGATTAAAGATGCTGGGCAAAGCAGCACAGGACTTGCGAGCAGCATGGATGTATATACTGATAAAGGAAATGCTTAAAAATAAAGTCGCTGAAGGCAGCCACATGCTTTTTTGCCAAGGGAGAAAAGGCAGCAACAGTTGTTCAGCTAAAACAAAATGGCAAAGGAAGCAACAGAATGACAAGTCGTGTCTGCCAGGCCGGACCAGCTCCGGGATTCTTCACTGCCACGCATCTAGTGCGGTGGTTTTGCACTCTTCAAAATAGGTGCAAAATGCAATCAGCTTGCAAAGTAGAAGGGTACCCCCTTCACACCCATACTACCCCTTTTGTACCTCACTTGTGTGGTGTAATGTTCCAAATCGGAAAACCAACTCCATTTGCATGCTTTCATGAGCAGGAATGCAACTGAGCAAATTATGTCATGCTGTCCCAAATCAAGGCACGGGGGGTTGGTTTATAATCAAAATTGCTTGACAGCTTGCTTGTTCCCCAATGGGGCCACAAATACATGCTGAGCGGTCTTCCTTATCTGCTCCGATTTGCTCGAAGTTTGAGAACATTAGTCATGCAAGCACAGCAGAAAATGGGCTTGGAGCCCCTGATTCCCTTTCCGTACTGGGATGTCAACACTAACCAAGCAGCCCTCCCCATTAACCAATACAAAAAGACAAGGCTCTCAATCACCCCTCAAGTTTTCCAGCCCAGCAGCTACCTCACTGTCTTAAGATGAGAATAAAATCTTGACCCATATGAAGCCAATGACAAAACTTCTTGGAGTACAGCATGGCCAAGATTTCACCCAGGCCCTTGGCCCCCCTGGAGCTGGGGTGATGGAGCTCCAAGTTTACTCATCACCAAGGATCAAGAACTATTGGATTTCTGCCCATGTTTTGCATTTCTTCCACTGAATGCATACTTTTAATTGTATAAACATCTATACGTAAATGAATATTACTTACTTGATTTTGGATGCCAGGAAAAAAAATTGCATTTTATCTTGCATGCAAAAGTCCTGCTAAAATGGGTTCTACCAAAAAAAAAAAAAATCAAACAAAACCAAAAATCATTGCCCCTCCCCCTCTCTGCAGAGAGGGTGCTACAGCAGGTGACAAGGATGGGAAGCAGGAGAGCAGCACGCAGCTTTGGATGACCTTACTCACTTTAACAGAGACTTTGTTGCCCAGAATATCCTTGGATTTACGTGGCCCATTGGCTTCATTTTTGCCACTGCTCTCCATTTCCGCCCGCTTTCTCATGCGCAGGGTATGCCATGAACATGACTTCCTGTTGTACCAAAAAATGCACCAATCAAACGGCAGATCATAGCAGGAAGGAAGGATGTGGAAAGGGGACCAGCGTCCACATTTGGGATTACTGAAGTTCCCTAAACGTCGCAGCAATTGGCAATGCATCTATTACAGTTTGAGCATAGATTAAAAAACACGTTTTCAGAACAGTTCTACAAGCAGATGTTGTTTCCAGCTTGCTATTTTAATGCACTTAGCAAGAAAAATAATTCCCAGGATGCAAGCAGGCAACTGGGCTGTCTAAAGTTCAGAACTTGTCATCGAGCTTCAGGGAGTTCAGCAAGATATATTTGTGACAAATGCCAAAAAGTCAACCCAATCTTATATCTTGTTGATTCAAGCAGTGAAACCGATGAAAGTATGATGGGAAGGGTCTACATGGATTATTTCGCAAAGCAAATATGAGATTTCAAAACGTACAAGGTAAAGCCCTAAATGTTGCTAAGAGCATAAGAAATAGAATCTAGGTTATTTGATTTCCAAGAGATAAGTCATTTTCTGGAAATCACAAGCTTTACTATACTTATTTGGCCTAAGAATTTCCTGTTAGTTTAACACTGTTGCAATGTCAATCTAGTTGTCTAGGGTGTTAATCATGGGTTGTTGGTTTTTTTTTTTTGAA